GATGGCTTCCATTGCATCCTTCAGAGTCTAAGCCTGGCCTCTGTTGCACCTTGGGACAGTCAGCTCTGTGTTAAGGTAGCCGTGAATGGACACCTACAGCCCCCATCATAAGAGTTGGAGTGTGCCTCTCTTTGCCTTATGTACCACACCTCCTGGCCCCAGAGGCTACATAGGTCAACAGAGTGGGTTATTGTGTTTGGAAGGGAACACCTTTCTAACACCTGATGTTACCTGGTGGGGAGATCAATTTGAAGTCCAGCTCTTTTTGCTGCTGCAGATAGGATGGGCCTGAGTATAGTCCAGAGTCAGGAGCTGGTTCCTCAAGAGTGTATGGATAAATTTGTTTTAAGGCCAAATTGTTTTGGTGTTTTTTGAAACCCAGAGGGAGTGGGAAAAGAAAGGACCCACGCCTAGTTTAAGATAAATTTGTCAGCCACTGGGTGATAGGACAATTTGGCTGTATTGTGGACATTACTATGAAGTAAAGTCTCACGATCCAGGGGGAAGAATGTTGTATTGTTTTGTTCTGTGAAACTTTGCGCTTGTAAACTTGAAAATGCTTGGGATGTGAAAGAAAGAAGGAGGGATAATAACAGGGCCTCTGCATGGATGGATTTGAAAATGACTCCACTTCATAAGGGAATGAAATCAAGCTGGAACTTTATTGAAAGCAATTTACATTAAAAATGATTAGATTTGCAAGCACAAAGTACAGCCCCTTCAGACAAAATGCTGAACCCTCTGAACCAGAAGGCTTTATCCTGGGGATCTCTAAATGCCCTTTTTTCTATTGTAATATACCAAGAGAGTTTGGAAGAGGCTGAGAATCATGGGACTGTATGTAGGCTTGTAAATATGTGTACTTTTATTTTTAACCCAGACCTGTCTAATGGAGGTAGAACACTTCTTTTCTTTTCTTCATGCTGACTTTGCAACAGATGAATTTTCATGCTTGTAAAACCTTTTCTCTCCTCTTACTGGTTAGTTTTAGAGGATGCCTTGAGTTTGCTTGCAAAACAGTCGGAGGAACTTGAAAACCATGCGGAGCGCTTGTATGAGTCAGTGTTAGCAGCTATGGATACCACTGAAAGCAACAACCTAACAAAGGACGGGGGTGCTCAACAAACCGTCGTCCAAGCTAAAGAATCCGAGTGGGTAAGCAGAGGGCTACATTAGGATGGAATAGCTTCTCTTGTGTTGCTTTCTGTGATGTGGTATATGCCAAAGTATGCATTTAAAATGAGATGGTTGTACAATCAGACTTTTATGTGTGACTAGAGAGACCATATTTTGCAAGTTCCAAAAGGGTAGATTGGCCCATCCCGATCAAAGGAGGCTCAAAAGTGCACCTCATAACTGTGAGGGGTTAGAACGGAAGATTGTTTGGACTTTTTGTAAATAACTGTCTCTAAAGGAGAGGACTGGACTCAGTGGCCCAAGAGGCTCCCATGAAACGGGTGCCATGTTCCTTAGCTGAGTGGAGTGCAGAAAATGAGACAACATGGGTGGCAAAATGTTGGTGACATGCAGCTGGTTGGAATAAAGGAATGCAGGGAACTCCCCAAGGGACTTAATCAGGGGAACAGCCAGCAGAATGGTAGCTGTAGCTGGAGTTCACTGCTGAAACATGGAAGGGAGGAATGACCTAGGACAGTAGGACAATGGAGAGTGACCTAGGACAGTGGAGGTCAACCTTTTTGGCAGGCATACCATAAATTGACCCCACACCCTACCCGAGTGCCACTCTGATCCGCTTCCCCTGCGTGGTCAGCTGTTCTGCTTTCTGTTCTGTGCTGTCACAAACCAAGACTTGGGCAGTCTTCCTAATGGTTAACACAAAGCTGGGATCAGAGATTAGAGGACTAGCTGGGTCAAAGCCAAGGGACTGGAGTCTGAGACAGAGCCAAGTCAACAGGTAGAGGCAGAGATAGGGAGGCAAGCGGGGTCAGTACCTGATGGCTGAGTCCGCGACAGAGCAAGACACGAGGCAGAGACAATAGTCAGTCTGACCTGGGCTGGCACCAGTATGTCAAGCCAGGTATCAGGAGACAGGGACACAGAGCAGCAGAGCAGTTTGGAGGCAGCAAGAAACTTGGATCCTCTCCTACTGTTTCCCCTTCAGCTACAAGCAGCGGCCTGGTGGAGGTCTGTGCTGGTGTTTGCCTCTGGGACCCTTAGGGCTGATGTTCAAGACTGGTTCCTGACACCTGCCCTATGCTCTCTGCCCAATCTGCTGTTCTTCTGCTCCCTGTCCTATCTGCCACTGTGCTACCTGTCTCTTCCTGCTCTTGTGTGCCCCTACACAAAGTCTGTCTGTGGCATGCATATCAGATTGGCCACCCCTGCTCTGGAAGATCCTTTTGCTTGGATCTAAATCACCATGAATGTTGAGGGGAAAAGATTTGGCCATGGTTGTAATGAAAACTTCCCCTTGATGCTTACCAAGCAAAAAAAAAAGAAGCAAGAGAGCAGTGCAAGTGAATGTGTGTAAAGTATGGGATTGAACAACAGGGTAATACTTTCTGTGAATCAGTAATACATCCCAATCTGGTTAGCTTGGGTTCTTTCCTGAAACAAGACTATATACCAGCAGCAGATGACCAAGAAGTCCAGACTTTTAGAGGCATGGAAAAAGTAAATTGTACCCTGTGCCACAAAAGAAGATTGAGGGACCTTTCAGTTAACTTGAAAGGCAACATGCTTTGAAACAAGTGCTGTTCATCACAACACTGACCAGGCGTTGGGATGCATTGCCACAGGAGTATGATTGAGCTAGCAGGATTCAGGAAATGTTTAGCCAGCTGTGGAGACCCTCCATTATTAGACCAGAGACTAGGCAATAGTTTAAGGAATAACTTTTGATGCGGTGGCTTGCAATAGCAGGGGGCTAGTCTCTGCTAGTCCCATGTTCTCCTCTAACTCTATAACCAAGCACAGAGGCAGAAACAGATCCAGGATTTTACAAAAGGGGTGTGATTGCAGCGACTGGTGCTGCAGGGGTGGCTGCACCCCTCTCCCAGCCTCCTCCCCCTGCTTCCCACTACTAGGGCAGGCAGACAGCATTGCACGAGCAGCAGCCAAGGACCTAAGCCCCAAGGAAGATAAGTACTACTTCCCACTATGCTCAGAGGTGCATCCCGTCCCTTTCCTTCTGTCTCCATCCCTTCCCCTCCCATTGTCTACCCTGTCTTGCCTGCCACTGCCAAGTACTGTCCTGGGAGTGAGACAAGCTCCTGTCCCAGTCTGGCTGGGCTGTGTGTGGGCTGCACTCACTGGGCACTGCCAGGGGAGGGGGCAAGTTTCTGCACTCTGCACCTGCTCCCAAGATGGCAGGGAAAACCTGGAAGGGAGGGAGGATGCACCTGCCCACTGCCATCACTGCTGCAGTCCTGGGCTGAGCGCAGCCCCTGTGCAGCCCAGCTGATGAGGGCAGGAGTTCCTCTCCCATCCCAGTGGAAGGTGATGGAGGGGAGAATGAGAGGGAGAGGGGACATGCTATTGAGCACAGAAGGGAAGAGAGAGGGGGAATACTTACCTTCTTTGAAACTTAAGTCCATGGCTTCTGCTCTAGTAGCATAGTCAGAAAGATTGGGGGGGGCGGTGAGCATGTAGCCACACCACTGCAGCCCTTATGGACCCACTCGTGCACAGCTATAAGGAAAAATGTCCTTGGTGGGTGGGCTGTTCCCTTGTCTTTCAGTGTTGCTGAAAATCTGCTGGAGAAGGCAGCAGAAACGGCTGCTATTAGCAGCAGCATCTCCCCCTTCTCAGCCTCTTTGTCCCTCAGAGTGTGGGTTTGGCTCAGCTCAGGCATGGCTGCCGGAGACAAGCAGAATGGGAGCAGAGCCTGAGACAGCTGTGTGTGTTGTGGGGAAGGGGCAGAGAGGGGAGCGTTGTCTTTAAGAATTACCCAGAAGAACTACACATCACAGCCCTAGACCACATCAGAGATTTCCCCCTCCCTGATCCCAGGCAGACACAGGGCGGCTGCTACAGGTGTCACCAGCGGAAGACAGAGTGTTGGGATTTCTCTGGAACCGTGTTGGCATGTCAGATTATAGGCAAAAAAAAAGCCTTTATGACCAAAAAAAGCCTATGCTATGAAGCACTTATTTCTTTAGCACTGCTTCATTCTAATGACCAGTGTAAAACAGCCCGGCATTGTGTTTAGAGGGCTTGGATTTATTTTATTTTCTCTGAGACTTGTAAGTTGTCCTTGTACTTGTTCCACAGAACTTGATGTTCGGCCTGGGATTACAAAAAACAACACGAGGCAATAACTTCACCTTAATGGACTATTGTAAACCTAGCATATAAAATACATGCATGTGATGACATGCAGGGTTCAGCCTTCATTGCATCTGTTGAGGCATCAGTTCCTGCCTACCTCAGAACATTATCTGAGCTGTTCTGTCATCTTCCATTGTAGTGCTGAAATTATTTGCCTCTTTTAATAGTCACATATCTAACTGCATTTTTAGAATTATTTTTTTTCAAGGGGGCAGAAGGCTGAGGTTTGTTAGCGCACAGTGCTGTCACACTTCTGGCCCATTCTGCGTGAGGTATATGCTTTACTCTTAAGCTATTGATACACAAACATCTGCATGTATAATAACTGTTATAAGAGTTTTAAGGTTGCAAATTGGGTGGTGTGAGCAATGGAAGAGGAGGACTATACATTGGGTGTACTGAAAAATACCCAGTTCCCAAGATGCTGTAGTCCTGATCTCCTGACTGGAGATGGGTCCATGCTGGGCATTTCCCAGCATTTCAGAGGAATTTCAGCTGAGTAGAGTGTATACCTAAGCAGTCTATACCTCCTTATCCTCTGTCCCCTTCCCAGTACCTTAGCTCCAAGATGTCCCGCCAGCCTACAACTGGCCCTCTGCAGTTCAGCCATCCCCAGACTCCTCATCCACATCCAGTGGCCCACTGCACCTTGAATGAACTCCAGGCTTTTGTGCAGCTCTGGAGAGCACTTCACTTCCTGGCCCTCTGTGCGGGCCAGAAGCCCACTTATCCCCCAACCCCATAAACTCCACAGCTTATCTCCCTCCCTAGTAGACCACTGCTTCCTCAAATGGCACACTGCTTCCCCTCAGCAGGCCCAGCCGGTGAGTAAGCACCACTTCCCGCTGTTGCAAATGCAGCAATTAACTTGAATATAGAAACCAAGTAAGCAACATGCTTCTCTCCCCCTTTGGAAACGCTGGACACAGTTGTGTTTGCTGCCTGTGCCTTTTAAC